ACTCCATCTCAGAATGCTGTGTCCAAGGACAAAACCTGGCTCTGAAGCTGTGTGAACATGAAGTCAACTTTCCCAAAGGTAAGACAACCAATCACCAGAAGTTCTGTGACGCCTCAGTAGGAAAGGGAAGGCAGGGAGGAGACACCTGCACCCTCGGGGAACCTAGAGGACAGGACAGACAGCACCTGGAGGATGCTCTTCACCCTCTACATGGCCCAAACCCTGGGGGACCTTGTTAAAAACCAGGGCCGTGAAGAGCAATAGCTGGTGGCCTGGGACATATTCAAAGAGGTACTCACTGCAGATCTGCCCAGACAGTGGCAGCCAAGCTTTTCCCTTCCATAAACTCCAGCAGCTGCGTAGCAGCAAGGATGCGGGAGAGAAAAGGCTGGAGAGAATTTCCACTGAAATCCTTGGGAGCTGAGGGAGGGGTGAGGAGTTTGCTGGGACAGAGATACAAGGTCACTACTGTCGAGATGGAACCCAAACTAGGCTCTTCTTTCTTTCTTCCTTCCTTCCTTCCTTCCTTTCTCTCTTTCTTTCTTTTCTTTCTTTCTTTCTTTTGTTTTGTTTTTTGTAAGTAGTCTTTTGTATTTTGAGTTCTTAAAATTATTCCCCTTCCTTTTTTTTCTTTTCTGCTTTTCCTGCATTTAAAAATAGAAAAGATGGGATCAGGGGCTGCAGGGGCTTGGGGTCCCTGCTGCCAGAGAGCTGCTAGGCAGAACCGAAGAGCAGATGTCTCATCTGCATCCACCTTGCTTCCATGGGAGGTCCTAGGGACCATCTAGGAAAAATTCCTGAAGGCGGTCTATTTATAGATAAGTAGATAGGTAGATACATAAATACTTGATTCATAGATGGATGATAGATAGATGACACATCAATGATAGATAACAGGCAGATGATAGATAAATGATAGGTAGAAGACAGATGACAGATCCGCAGATAATAATAGATGTTAGAAGTTATAGAATAAATGATGAAAGATAAGTAAACACATACATAGATACCTGGATAGATTGATAGCTATTCAGACAGTTGATACATGATAGAAGAGAGATAGACGATAGACAGATAGATGGATGTTGGAATTGTAAACCAGACAACTGCTGGTGTAATCTTCGAATACTTCCAAACACACAATGAGCCCTTGAACAAAGAAAGCAAATCTCATTCCAAGTGGAGGAAAGAGTCCTGACAGCCCTGGCCAGCTGGCATCTCTCTACCCAGCGGCTCAGGCCCTGTAACAGTGACTGCTGAGGGAGTCCACACGCAGACAGGAAAAGCAGGCCACTGCCCTGGAGAGGGCCCAGGAGTGCCGAGCTCTGGCCACTCTGAGGCTGGCCTGCGCTGGGGAGGGCCACTGGAGGCAGTGGGTCCCACAGACCGGCTGCAGACCAGACCATCTGCGAATGGCTGCTGACCCTTCGCGCTCTGACGTGAGGGGCCCCGAGATGACGGTTGATCGATAGCCGCTGGGTCAAGCAGAAATAACAGCAATGCTTTTTTTTTTTAAATTAAGAGACAGAGCAAAATAACTAGAAAGTTGTCTTAAGAATCTATAACCCTTCCCATGCCAGGGGCTTCTACCTAGACGCTGCATCAATGGAAAGAAAGATGGAATCCAGGTGTGGGACATGGATTTCACAAGCGTCATTCTGCTTGCTGTTCCAGACAGGCCGAGGTCGGGGCAGACATCAAATGCAGAAGTTCTCAGGGAGGATTCCATGCCCCTGAGCACCCCGGGGGTGCCGGGGGACCCACCACCCCGGGGGCTTCCTCACCAGACCGTCCACGTCCATTCCACCCATCTCCACAAGCGGACACGTGAACAGACAGAAAACGAGGACGGCCATCCTCCGCCCAAGTACGCAGATCACACAAACTGCTCCAGTCCTTGCATGGGAGACAGGCAGAGGCTCCTAGAAACCTTCAATCAAAATTAAAATGTGGATGCAGGATGCTTATGCCGTAGACATGGAAGTACTTTTCCCATCCCCAGAAAAAGTCCTGTGAGGTGGTTTGAATTGTGCGTGAAACTATTTTCCCCATGGAACTCCACTTCTACTCGAATGACTGACAAACTATCATTGCTTAACCATGAGCATTTGGCAACATTTTCCCCAAACAGCATAAAGTGAGTCTGACACCTCAAGGAAAACAACGAACAATGTGGGTTGCCAACGAAAAATAATGTGGGTTTTCAAGCAAAAATGAGAATTTTAGAAAACTTGCATCTGCCATTGCAATCTTCCCAGCTCCCCAGAACTTGCAGACTCTTCTAACAAAATAAGTGGTGATTTGAACAAGTGTGAATTTATGTCCATGAAGAATATGTCACTGTGTGGAAGATTTGGGTAAGTGGATCAGCTATTATTTTCCAAGTGGTCAATACTTAATATTGCAAAAAGCAAAAAAGCATAGAGCTGGGTGCTGGTGGCTCACACTCAGGAGGCTGAGATCTGAGAAGCTAGCTTGGGCAGGAAAAGTCCAAGAGCCTCTGATCTTCAATTAACCATAAAAAAAAGGCAGAAGCAGAGCTGTGGCTCAAATGGTAGAGTGCTATCCTTGAGCAAAAGGGCCCAGGACCAGTGCCCAGGCCCTGAGTTGAAGCCTCAGTACCAACACACACACACACACATTTGCAATAGCAGAGTGATCTGCAGATTTCCTATAATAGAGGATAAAAAAGTTCACTAACATTCTTCCAGATTCCACAAGTAACTAACACTGCCACGTTTTTGTGTGGTCTGCCAGGTATAGGTGGCTCAGGCATGTAATTCTAGCTACTTAAGATGTTGATTGCTGGAATGGAGATTCAAAGCCAGCTTGGGTAGATAAAAGGTGGCACACATCTGCGATGCCCGCAGTAACCAGAAACCCACAGTCCCTGGATCCCAGCTCAGAGATATACCCAAGCAGGAAGACCAATCCTATATTGAAAATAATCAGTCAAAAACAGGGCTGGGGGCATGACCCAGTCGGTGTGAGAACCTCAGCTAAACCCCCACCCCCACCCTCGTCCCACCCCCTTCCCCCTCCCTGTAAAACTCCAAAACATTCATCTACTAAAAGTGGAATTCCAGGCAGCACTTTGCTGTGGACTTCAGACCTTGACAGCCCTGTTCTGCAAGCCTGGAGCCTCTGTAGGGTTACTGGACCCGGACACGTGACCCGGGAAACCTGGGCTGGTAGGGGTCCAGAGCCCCGCCCTTGCTGTGGAATGACTCTTAGGGTAGTCAGCTAAGCTACGCCTTCGTGGCTCATCTATAAAGTGGATTCATAATAAAGCCCAGTGCGCTTTCACTGGGAAGACCTGGTGAAATGCCGTGTCAGGTACAGAGTTCAGCTGATGACGATGCCCATGGGCTGTGTCTTGGATGACTCTCTTCACCCACAGCGACTTGCGTGAACCCAAGGTGTGTCTGGAGATGACACGCCTCTGGAAAACCGGATATGGGTCAGTCCCCTGGGGCAGAGGCAGGAAGTTGACCCAGGGGCAGGAAGGGATCAGAAAGCAAGCAGAGAAGGTCTTTAAAAAAAAAAAGAAAAAAAAGTAGCGTATGGGATAGTGGAAGAACAACAAGGGAAGGGGTAATTACTCAACAAACAATGCACGCACTGCCTCACTCATGCAACTGTAACCCCTCGGTACAGCATCTTTACAACAAAATAAAAAAAACTGAAGTAGTTTATTTAAAGCAAGTGATTATAAAATCCAATGCATTTCTACCAACATATTTCCTTTCTACTAAACTTTAAATATTTTTAAAATGAAACTTTCATAATCTGAAGATTTCCATGGATACAAATTCTTTTTCTAAAACCATTTTAAATTAGGGCTTGCCCAAAATCCTGAGGCCATCATTTTTGTTCAAAATCTTCAGGCAGCTGAGAAACTGTAGCAGAACCTGAGTAAGGGAGCGAGCTGGAGCGAGCTGGAGGCTCTAGCAGCTGACCCGCGCCGCGTTCTTATCTACTGCTCTTTCCCGCACTGTCCCACCGTGGCCCTTCGAGCTCTCCTCCACGAAGGCGCAGTAAACCAGTGCCCTGAGCACCTGACTCAGCCTCCTCCTCCTCCTCCTCCTCCTCCCCCTCCTCCTCCTTCTCCTCCCCTTCCCCCTCCCCCTCCTCCTCCTCCTCCTCCCCTTCCCCCTCCCCCTCCTCCTCCTCCTCCTCTTTCTCTTCCTCTTCCTCCTCTTCTTCCTCTTCCTCCTTCTTTTGCTTGTTTTGTTGGCCCTGGGGCTTGAACTCAGGCCCCCCACATTTGCTTAGTGTTTTGTGTTTGATTTTTTTCCCCACTCAAGGTGATGCCTGACCATTCGAACCACAGCTCTACTTCTGACTTTTGCATGAATAGGCAGAGAGATAGCAATCTTTAGGAACTGTCTGCCCAGGCTGACCTCAGACCATGGTTCTCAGCCTCCTGAGCAGCTGGGATTACAGGTGTGTGACACCGACACCCAACTACAGCCTTCTATTTTAAGGCTCCCCAAACACGTTTTCTGGAGGTTCCCCTTGGTGTTTTTGGCAAGTGCCAAAGATTGTTCCAGGATGCACTGGAAACATTGACGCCTCTTCCTGAGCAACGGCCCCTTTCCATGTGAATGGCCCCACAAGACCACCACACAGCCTGTCACCACACAGCACTGCGCTGACAACCTCTGCATCTGCCCCGCACTCAAGTGGGTCTGACGCATGAGGACCCCAACCCAAGTGCCCCCCACAAAGACTGGGGTGCTTCACTCCACTTCCACACTAGGTGGAAGAGGAGGACGCTCCCTGGCAGGAAGAGCAACTTGCATGAGCAGGAAGTGCTTGTGGAGCTGGTCAAATCCAGTTGGAAAAGGCCCAGGGACCCGTCTGGGCTGTGTGGTGTCCTTTGCCAGCCTGACTACCTGGGCTCAACTCTTCTGTCTAGGCTGGAGGGGCTAGAGAACCGACGAAGGGAGCCGTGGCCTGCAGCTGCCAAGAACAGTGACATGAACCTCTCCTCACAGTTTCCGCCGGGTGCCAGGGGTCTGGAGTGCACCGGTGAATCCACTGTGCCGTTCACCCAAGGGTCACAGAGGTGCCGCCGGCTTCCAGCCACACCCGAGGGGACCGGGTGCTGTCCCTCCTAACTCCTGGGATAGTCGAGATGACAATTCTAATGAGGGCAGCAAGGTGCATGGGGAGGGGAGTGGGGAGATGCTCCCCTCAGCTTTCTAACTTCAGGTCACCGAGAAGCCGCTCCGTCACATATGGGGTAACATCTTGATTTCTTAAAAACCTACACACTTTTACAAAGTCACTGGGCATGATACTTCCTGTTATGTATTTTGCACACGTAAATGAACACTGGGACTGGCGTATGGTAAAAGGACCATGTGAATTATTTGGAGGTCCTGGGATGACCCTGATATAGTCTCCCTCTGTGGGCAACTTCAGATCTCGTGAAGATGAGCTTCAAGTGGATCTAGTCCAGAAATGTGAGAGAAGGAACATTTTTCTTTAAAAAAAAAAAAAGTGATAAAAGGGATTTTGAACGTATCACTGATGTCTGCCCTTTGCAAAGCACTGTTAAGAGGAAGGAGATGACCACAGGCTTCTTATCTGCTGGAGAAGTGTCTAGAACACGTTAAAAAAAAACCTCCAATCTCCACAAGCAAACCACTTTTTATTGGAAAACACAGGCAATAAAAGATGTGACACATCAGCACAGAAGCATCTGAATGACGGAACGTACAGGAAGATGCTCCACATGGGCAGTCTTTGAGCAGTACGGGGACTGCCCCCTCCCCCCTCAAGCCCACCCAGTGAGGGGGTCCAGCGCTGCTGATGGGATGCCAGTGGGAGAGGCCTGCAGGAGCTGGGCTGGCTGCTACTGGCACCTGGCAAGGGTGGGCACTGTGCACATATTTCTATTTGTACGCCATGGGATGAGCTGTCTCCTGGTGGGGAAAATCCCTTCACCACTTCAAACTCTACAAAGAGCTCAGTCCTTGCTTACCAAGCTTTCTTCTAAGCACACAGGCAACTTTATTGACTCCTACAGTAAAGCACAGGGATGAAGACATTCCCTCCATCTCCTGATTTGCAAAACAGAGCTCCATTTCGCTGGTTCCCTTGTTTCCAGTGGTTCCTTCCTTGGAGGTCATCGTGGCCAGTTTGCTCCTCAGGAAACCAGCTCTGCCCAGATGCTGGGATGAGTAGACACGTGGATTTCTCCTCATCACCTGTCCAAGCTCTCAAAATCTGACCCCCACCCAGACCTTCAAAGAGTACAAATGGCTGTGAACACAACAAACTTAGCAAAGGTTGACTGCTGGTTACCAGATTTTTGGAATATATGTTCTAACTTGTGTAAGTTTTTGAGTGACCCTGAATTGGTAGGACTTTTAGATGTGGTAACCAAGGGACTGTGCTCATTAGTTTTGTTCTTCTGCTCGGTTTGAGTGCTGAGGATGTAACTCAAGGCCTCATACGTGCCAGGCCAAGGCTTTGTTACAGAGCTACACCACAACCCCAAATCTTCACTTTAATTGGACTTGAGTAATTGCGTGTTGGACGTCTGCCTTCTCTGTTGACAGTCAAGTCTAGGAATGCAAACATTCAGGTTCGCACAGTGCTAGCCACATCACGGACTCCCCCTCCCCCGCCCAGAGCAAAATTCTAAGACAGATTATTGGAAAATAACTAGTGATAAAGTTATCTGTCCTGAGAACTTCAGGAATGGTCCAGTCCACGCTGAAAGAGTAGCCGTGCTGCCAATGGCACCAGGGAATCTGTTTGTTTGGGCCCTGGTCCCACCGAGTCATGAAAGATTGAAAGATGATTACTTCCCCATCCTGCCAATGTCCGGAACCAACCCAGCTAACTCACAGAAGAGTCGAACCCCAAGGATTCTCAGAGTGATCTTCTGGCAAATACACAGACTACATGTTGGTGGTTTTGTGTTTTTTTTCCCTGCGTTCCTGGTTGTGTAGCCGCCTTCTCAGAAAAAACTGTGAATCTGTTTCATCCAACCTGTTCTTGGAGAACTTCCCAATGCCCAAGTTCACGTGTGCCGGGCTCTCACTCGGGTGATGAATGTCAGCAAGCCACGATGATCACAGCCATTTCTTCCTTGGCCTCCGGCCAGGCTGGAATCTGCTGACAGGTTCCATGCTCCCTCCGGGCTACTGCCCTTTCATCTACACTGCAGTAACTAAGCTGAGGGTTGGTTGGTGGGTGTTTGCTACACTGTGCTGAAATGTTCTATTTCCATTTTGACTGCATTCATCGGAATCCACTTAAACCAAAAGTGTAGTAGCGTGCTCTTTAATAGAGAGCCCATGGAGCTGTAATTTGTATTGTTCCCCAGTCCTCTCACGTCTAACCTCTTCCTTCCAAAAGACACACTTGGAACCATAAAAATAGATTTGAGGGCCACCTCTCAACTCGTTGAGCTGCTACCAGTTTTGAGTTACATGACAGCGACTGAGAACCCAGAGAGGCAGGTCAGTTCCTCCTGTGTTACTACGTTTTGCTCCCATCGCCGGCCTGTGAAGACAAGTTCTGAATCCCTCTGTTCCCAGAGGCCTGTGTTCAACAAGTAGAATAAAGATGGCTGGTCACTCCAGTGGACAATAGGATCACAGGGAGGAGCACTTGGAGCTAGTCAAAGGAAGGGGGAAGAACACAAACCCTTTTTATTTTAAATAGGGAGAGTTCAGAATGGTCCACGGGCCCCTAATGAGTCCCTCTTGGAACACTGCCTAGCCTAGCGACCTTCCCATTCACCTCCCCCCGTGGGATTCCCTCTCCAAGGGGACATCTGTGAAGACAGGTACAAAGAACATCTAGGAAGAGCACATACCACAACATTAAAGAACAAAACCCAACTATTACAAATGACAGTCATTTTCCCACACTGATTGTCCAAAGACGTGAACTGGCATCTGCTCCTGGAGCAGAACAGATCCGCGGCAGAGCGGCAGGAGGTAGGATTAGAATAAAATGCCATCCCTGGGAGCATATTCCATTGGCTTCCTCTGCTCTTGCTTCTGCTTGTATCGAGCCTTCTGGTAAAATACAATGATGACCACGGTGACTATATTTAGAAGCATGACAAGGAATATGAGCCAAAATGAATATCCATACGTGTGGGCGGTCCCACCAAGTATCATGGCTGGATAAAGCCTCTGGGACAATTCCTCAGAAAGATGATTGGAGTCTGTGTTCCCCACAAACAGGATCATGGTCAGGAAAACGAAGGATGCTGAAAGGAACATTGAGTTTCATTAACAACTTAGAGGTGCGTTGATCTTTGTTAGTGCCACTGGTTTGCTTAATGGAACGTGTAACCCATGGGCATTTGTTCAACATCTACCCTGGGTTTTATACCCTATCAAGTCTTGGGGAGAACGTAATAAAAAATGTAAGACACAAACTAGATTCTAAGCTTTGATATATTGAAGATTGTGCAGGGTCTGACCAAGGACAAATCTTGGGGCTCAGTCCTCTGTGCAAGTAGCTGCCGGACAGCTGGTCTACCCAGTAGCTCACTTCCTAAGGTGATGCAGGTGGAAAGTGTGCTGAATGAATGATCAAGTCAATGAGGGAACACTGCCTCAATAGGGCAAGCATCTAGGGCGGTCTGAATGAGGAACAAGACTCAGAAAGGCTGAGGAAGGAGCAGCACTGCAGTCGAAAGTAGCAGCCTCCACAAAAGCATGCAGGAGCCTCCTGGGCCACTGAGCAGACAGCAAGAGGCTATGGGGCCTTAAGCACTTGGAATAGACAGGTCAGCCCTGGAGAGCCCTGAACAGCAGCTCAAGAGCTCACGTTTCATTCTGTCTAAGTAGTTGATAGCCAGTAACCAAGAAAGATGTACAAGCCAGGCACCGGTGGCTTGTGCCTGTAATCCTTGCTACTTGGAAGGCTGAGGATGGGGTATCACAGTTCAAGGCCAGCCAAGGCAGAAAAGTTCATGAGCCTTCTTCTCAACTCAAAGCTGGGAAGGGTGATGTGATACTACCATCCTAGCTTTGGGGCTGAGATCAAGAGAATGGACAGTTTCAGGACAAGCCTCTAGCAGAAAAGCCTTCATGACTTCATCTCAGTGGAAAGAAGCTGGGTGTGATGGCTCACAGCTAGAATCCCAGGTGGACAAAAGGTTAGAATAGGCAGACTGAGAGTTGGCACATACACCTGGGCAGAAAGCAAGACCAACCAGTGCACCAAAAGGCTAGAGATAAAGAAGGCTGGTGCCAGTGTCTCACGCCTATAATCCTAGCTACTTGGGAGGCTGAAATCTGAGGATCACGGTTCAAAGCCAGCCCAAGCAGGGAAACGACTCAGAGAAGGGTCGAAGTAGTGGTGTGGCTCAAGTGGTAGAGTGCTAGCCTTGAGCACAAAGAGGCTCTGTTACAGCTCCCAGGCCCTGAGTTCAAGCCCCAGGCCCAGAAACAAGGAAAAAATGGCTAGAGATATGGCTCAGCATAGGGCCATAGTTCTACATGAGTTCAAACTCCAATATCACCTCCTGCCCTCACCCCTCCCCAAAATAAAGGCTCTACAATAAAGTAGATTCATGGTCGGTCAAGGTGGAAGCTATTCTGAAGAGCGGTAACAATGGAAGGGTATAGGCTATCTTTTTAAATTGGTGAAAGTATTCTATCATTGACTGGCTAAGCTTTTCACATGTTCAAGGAGGCCTGGGAAACTTCTCTCATGCTCTGTAAATGGAGGGACTCAGTGGATGTATCTCAGTAAAGCTGTTGTTAAAGGGTTTGGACTGAATGCTCAGGCAGATTAGCCGCCTGGCCCAGGAGACAGATTCCCATCAGGAATCTCAGGCCAGATGTCCCTCGGGACCCCTCATCTGCTGACACGACAGAATGCTCTGTGTTCCGCGCTCTGTGGACGCCCTGGTGTCTACTGCAAATGCAGGGACGTTCCCCCACGGTTCTCCCAGCGCCCTAATTAGAGGGGCTTTGTGTGAGAGGACATTTTAACAGGCCTAGATGATAGGCCTCATCTTCAGAATAGTGGTTTTATTTCTTCGTCATTTGCATGAACAAAAGCTCCGTCCTCTGATGCTCCCAGGCGCCAACCTGCCTTCATTATCCTTCATTCTTTTTCCTTGTGATGTTTCCTATAAAAGCTTAATCATAGAGGACTGGGATGAAACAGGATTAATACCCGCGTGCAAAGCAGGCCGCCCTGAGCTTTGATGGCCCTCAGGAGGGGCGGGCGCATGGCAGCGCGGGTGCTGATGGACGCCTGGAGTCTCCACCTGTACGAAGCCTCCGGCTAGGACTGAAGGGTTCTGGGGACTGAAAGAGGCCCAGGATCTCTGGAAGGGGATACCACCGCTGTCCTGCAGGTCACGTGACCAGCTTCTGTGCTTGCTATCTGTGAAGTTCACTCTAGCTCCAGCATCCTCTCTGGTTCTATGGAGAGGTCCCTGTGGGCGGGGCCTGCCACACCGGGCTGGTGTGATGCAGAGCCAAGCTAGGGTCCGAGGGCATGAGGCCTGGAGGATGGCACTGTTGCTTTTTCCTCCTCTTCTGCCCTGTGGACCCTGCCTGTCTATCATCCACCAGCCCAGGAGATCGCGTGCAAAGCCAGGTCATCAAGGTTCACAGTATTTCCCCGGGACTCAGGTGAGGCAGGCTAACCCAGCCTGGCCTCCGCTCAGCCACAGCGCCTCTTGGCCAGCATGTGCGGTGGCAGCCTGGGCTGAGCTCCTCTGCAGCCTCCACCTCCCGCAAACAGAGTTTCCACGATGTCCCGTGCCCACAGAGAGACTCTGTCAAGGAAACCTGAGGTCCCTGAGGACAAACTGAAGGAAAGTCTGGCTTATCACTCTGGGTATCCATAGGATCTTCCCAGCCAGCCCCACCCTGGAGAGAAGCTTTCTGCAGGCCTTGGTCAAAAGGCAAATCCATTCCTTCCAAGTCAATCTCAGATAGTTTTCCTGCCCATCGCTCAGCCTCTCTTGGTGTTAGGACTTGTCCCTAAGGCTGAAAGGAATGTGACAGAAATCCGCTCCATAGCTGTATAGTTCTTTGGTGGGAGGAGCTGAGGGAAAGCTCTCCCCCCCCCCCCCTCCGCCCCACCACATAGTTTCCTCCAAAAACATGAATGGGGCCACAGCCATGAGTAAAGTCAGCCCTTACTCTGCTGAGGCAGAGAGCCTGGAGCTACAGCTGGGAGGGAAATGCTGTCCACAGATGTGGACAGAGCACTGGCACAGGGCTGGCTCTGCACCGGCTCCTGCTTTTCCTCTTCAGCCTCCAGCATCCCTCTGTACACCCTATTGGTCAGCTTGGTCATGCCAGCCTTGGAGAACACTCCAGGGCTGGGGAGGGAGCCAGTCCACCAAGAACTGGGCCCAGGGCTCTCTTAACTATGGAGAAATGACAGTTTGTCTTCCTGGACCTGCCCAGGGTGGCTGGCAGCCCTCTGATGTTGAAGAGGATGGAGTGGGCCACGCAATACAGATAATGCCGGGGAAGTGAGGATTGGGGTGATAGAGAGAACCGTGACAGGGGCCCAGACCCTGAGTCCAAGCATGCCTGAGCTACCAGTCATGGTGGGTTCTTATTACATGAGCAAATGAGGGAAATAATCTGCATTGATTCTGGCAGGGAGTAGCGACAGTTTGTCTTTAATTTAGTTGACCAGTACAACAATAGTGTGGAGCCTGTCCCCTGCCCTAGGGGCGGGGGGGGGGGGGGGGACACATGGCTGGACTGGTAAGCAAGGCCCTGGGCCTTGCACTCAGCCACTGTGAGCTGCAAAGAGCCTGGCCACCATGCATGCCCCACGGAGGATGCCATGAGATTGGGGGATTTGTTTTTACCTCCAGGTGAGGAAGAAAGGGAGGGAGAGAAGGAAGAAGGGAGGGAGAGAGGGAAAGAGGAAGGGAAGGGGAAGAAAGGATGGAAGGAAGGAAGAAAGAAAGGAAGGAAGGAAGGAAGGAAGGAAGGAAGGAAGGAAGGAAGGAGAGAATGGAGAATTGAAGGAGAAAAAAGAAAAAGAACAAAAGAGAAGATGGGAGGGAGAGGGGGAAAGAGGGAGGGAGGAAGAAAAGAAGGAAGGAAAGAAGTGGGAGGGAGAGAATGGAGAATTGAAGGAGAAAAAGAGAAAAAAGAGAAAGGGAGGGAGGGAGGGAGAAGGGAGGGAAGGAGGGAGGGAGGGAGGGGAAGAAGCCAGTCATATTTGCACGTGACTGAGCCAGCCTATCTTCCAGATCCTGGAGCGGAGGTGTGAACAAGTAGCATGACCATGTGGCAGGCTTAGCCCATCCCAGGATACAGGGGAGGAGTTTTGACCCTTGTCCTGTTGCCTGGGCTGGGCTGGGGCGGGCTCTGATACATCAAACCCAGGTTCAGTGACCTTCCACAGGAACTTGGAAATGCCCCTCCCTCAGCAACCTGTGCCCCGTGCCCTCTCCCCGAAGTCTCCCAACACCTCAAGATTCCGAGCGTCCTTGTGTGCTTGGAAGTATCTGGCTTGGGTTAAAATGCACTGTGGAGGGACAGGCGTGGTGGCCTGAGCCACCAAGATGGCAATTGCATGGTGATTGGATCGTGATTAAAGCTAAAGTTATCAAGAACCCCATCTCAACAAACTGGGTATGTGGGGACACCTCCTGTAACCACAGCCATTCAAGAGGCTGTAAAGAGGTGGATAACAGTCTTCCCTAGACAAAAATATGAGATTCTACTGGAAAAAGAAAGTAAATCAGAAGGGTCTGGTGGTGCGGCTCAAGTGGTAGAGCACCAGCCTAGAAAGCATGAGACCCTGAGTTTAAGCCCCCAAAACAGCCCTAGGAATCTCACGTTCTGGAAGTTTACACGAAGGCCCTCACTTTAGTAGTTCAGGTTTTGTTCCTATGTCAGGTTTTAACAGCAGAAAGTGAGGGAGAGTTAGACCCCTGGTTTCCTGTCAGGGAAACACTCCACTGCCTAACTCTGCCTCGGGGCAGATGTGGCCAGTGCCAAGTCCATTGAGAGTCAGAAATACCGTGACTCTGCCAGGTAGGGTAGTTCACCCCTGTAATCCCCACCTTCGGGAGGAGGAGCAGAACGATGAGTTGGAGGCCAGCCTTGGCTGTACAGCACGACCCTACCTCTGAGAACAAAGGACAACAAAGCTGTGAGTCATAGCAGAGCTCCTCCACTTCCCATCTGGACTCCCTCCTCCACCCCCAGCCCGCCCATGAAATAAGCAAATCACCTAGCAACAGCGCACAGGAAGCAGAAAGAAGGGTGCTAGTCCATTGTCCCCCGAACAACGTCATCTGGGCTCAGTGGTCCACTCACCCAGGCGTGAGCCCGGGCTGACTCATTATATGAAGGCCAGGAGAGCAAACAAGTGTGTGTATACGTGTGCACACAAGCATATGTGCATACCAGGTGTGCATACATGTGTATACAGGTGCGCATGTCCACGTGTGAATAATATGCGTGCACGTGTGTGTGCATGCATGTGTGTGTGGTGTGTACATGTGAGTGTCCATTTTTGTGGTCCTGGGTCTCACACATGGTAGGCCAGTACTCCAGGACTTAAGGCATAACTAGGTCCTTTGGTTTCTGAGATAAGGTCCCATTAACTGCCTGGGTGTCTTCAACCTCTTGATCCTCCTGAGTCTGGGATTACAGGCAGGCACCACCACATCCCACAGAGCCTGGCTGTGCGTGTCCCGTGAATGATTTGCCTTCTGACATCCGACCGCCTCCATTATCCCTCTCCACACCCCCTTCTCACTCCACTCCTCCTTGTAGGATTGAACACAATCCTGCCACAGGGGCACTTGATAAATAAACACTGCAGCCTGACAAAGATAAACCCCGCCTCCCCCACCCCGACACAGGAGCAGGCCCGTGGGGTGGGGGGCAGTGCTCTCCGGGGTGTGACCGTGCTGCTGATGTGAGGCAGGGGCCGAGGGTCATCCCGGCGCCCCTCCCCGGCTGTGTGTGGAAGGAAGCTCACCACTGAGGCCGTTCCAGGTGTACACCCCCACGGGGCCCAGGAATGTCTGGTAGGGGTTGCTGACGCTGTTGTAGAGGGTGAACAGCGAGCTGAGCAGTGATGTCGCCAGACTGAGGATGAGGAACAAGATGGTCACCGCGTGCAGCGTTTTGGGTGAAGAGTCGCTCAGTACCCCTAAAACTAAAACAGCGCTTGGTGAGTGTAAAGCACAAGATGCAAATCTCGACTCTTCCCCCAGCATCCTCCACCCCCTTCCCTGCCTTGGGGACTTGGGAGAAGCTGGGCACCCCTAAATCCCTCAGGAGCAGGACAGCATGGCTCACTGCAGTGAGATGTGGACTCTGTGGTTGAATCAGAAGAACCATGAGCCCCACGAGGAAAGTCCTCTGAACACCCGAAACTTCCCCTTAGTGAGCTCTGGCCTCAGCCTTGCCGATAGGCTTCTGGGGGCTCCCCTGGCACAGGCGTTTGGCTTTGGCGGGGACCCAGTGAGCCAGGGCAGCCTGGAGAGGAAGGGTGGTTGGAGGTGCACAGGGAGTACAGGAATTCAAGGCTAACAGGGAGATGGGAAAAGACCCTTGTCCGTGGAAGCCAAGAGCGCTGGGAATCTGGCCCTCAGGTGAATCCTCAGCTAAGAGTGTTTTCTAAAATGACGTTTGTGGGTGTCTTCAATGCAAAGTAATTCCAGACATGGATGTGAGCTCATGGAAAACATGACCAAGATGTCCTAGGCAACGTCTGGCGTCTGGCCACCAGCATCTGGACACCTGAACATCTGTCTCCTGCACACACACACCTTTGCTACAACCCAAGTGACCAGATGTGGCAGTGTGCTCTCCTGTGAGCCCAGCCACACGTCTGTAAGACATCTGCTTGTGTGTGTCAGGGCTTCACGTTGAATAAAGTGCTTCCAGAGAGGGTCCATGAAGTCACACAGCAAAACAATAACAGGAGAGAGATTTCAGAGCCAACAGTAACATGCCAACAAAAGCACTGGGAATCACAAGGTACAATAGCCACGTACGGGTGAGTAGGAACAAGCAAACTCTCTTCCTTCCCCTTTCCGTTTCTCAGGTCCCCAGGGGTGACGAGACTCCCATCCTGAGCCCCGAGCAGCTCTAATGAGCAGAACGCAGTGGGGCCAGGCTGCATGCTGGCAACACCACCAGGCCTGTCTGAACCGTGTGCCAGCACTGGGTGAGTGCCCTCTCTCTGTAAGGTGTCCTCCCTTCTCCTTCCCCGCACCACCTTCAAGTCCACCCCAAGTCCATCCCCACACCTGCACCCTGAGGCCCGAGGCTCCTGTGAAGCCACACAGGTGAGCTTGGAGTTTCTTCTTTGGGGAGGGGTCCAACCCCTGATCAACAGCCAGAGCTGGCTTCCCAGAGGTGATTCCAACCCCACTCCCCCCCTCCCCACTAATATTTGCTATTGGTTAGTTAGTGTTATTGGAATTTGAATTCAGGGCCTTGTGCTTGTTAAGCAGGTGTTCTACCACTTGAACAATGTCCCCAGAACAACTTTTGCCTTTGAACCAGCAGGGCTCCGTGAAGGAGGTCAGTTGTCCTCTCATGCTCAGGGAGCAATCAGCCCCCTTGGAGTGGAGTGGGAAGGCCCCAGGAGCCGGGCACTACCAGGCCACTGGCTGGAAGTGGGGAAAGTGGGAATGAGGCAGTGCAGGAAAGATAAGGAGAAAAGAGTTTTGCACACGATGAGCAAGGCAAGGCCACATGTTCCTTGGGACCCCAGGGAGGACAGGGTGGCAGGAGAGGAGAAACAGCAGCTCTGCAGCAGGGGATGGCTCCCCCACCGGTGGCAACTAACCCTTGGCTCCTTGGGTAGTCTGGGAGCAAAGCTCAGCCAACCCAGGCCTCCTTCCTCATGGATGGCCCTGAGACTCTGCTGGTGACTCCTGAAGGTGCTTCCAGTCTCAGCGTGCGGTCCAGGCTCTGGGCCCCAAACAAGGACATAGAAGAGCGGGCATGTGTTGAACTGAAAACAGAACCAGACCGGCCACCCCTGGGCTGGCGTGGAAGAGGAGCCAGGCTGAACCCAGCCTTGGGCCTGTCCTGAGCTTCCCTCCCCTTCTCTGTGGACGTGTTCAGTTGGGAATCAGTGCTCCGATCTCACTTTACTTTGAAACTAGAGAAAGGTGACAGCAGAGGAAGGAGCAGAAAAAGCAGGACAGTAAGCATCAAGTCACTTGTGGTGACCGGCATCCCCTTCCCTACACAGCCCGCTGCTCCGAGAGGAACCTCCAGATCCCAGCCGGAGTTGTCTGGGACTACAGGAGCTCTCTTCTTGGTAAAGCTTGGGAATGCAGGAGATGAACTTGATTCTTAGCTAGAAAACCAAACCTTGTGAGGGCACAGAGCCTGTGTCCTAAGCCCTTGAAATACTTAGACCAATTTTTCTGCCGCACACGTACTGAAAGATGTAAAGGAATGCTTATTTGTAAACAGTTAGCATTTTACTTTTCTGATTTGCTCAACCAGAAAGTGATCATGGAGCAGAGCATTGTCTTTGGGTCAGAGCTCATTGACCTGATTTTCAAAAGGGTGTCCATTTGGAGTCTCATGACTTAACATGTTCCTAGGTACAAAGGGGACAGTTCTTCGCTTCCCTAGCTGCCTGGGAGAGTGGCACTTTAGCCTTCTAGATTCTCTGCACCTAGGTATGACAGCTCCCGCTCAGAACTCAGACAATGAAAGCCAAAAATACAGAGAAAGTTCGCAAGTATGAAAGAACAATGAACCTCCATCGCATCTGACAGCTGCTCGCTGTCTGCAAAATTAGCAAATCCAGGCTGCTCCTTTCCCTTCTATGGGGAGCAAGGGTCCAAAGGAGGACTGTCACCTCACAAGTGGGCTGGAAAACAAAGGCCAAGAACACAAGACTGCAGGGACGAGCTGTGGGCCAGCAGACCTTGCAGAACATGCCGTCTGCGGCCTCCAGACACCCAGCTCCCCGGAGGGAGATGGGATCTCCTCAGCACCCTTGGCTTCCAGACCCTCCTCAAACAGCTCCTGAATTCAGGCTACTACCACAGGGGATCCTGGTCCCAAGAGAACCCTGTGTGACTGAGGCCCCTCCCAGAGGCCCCAGCGGAGGTCCCCTCTGTTCGGATAGTTCCCCCCCCCCCGCTGAGCCCTGCAGGGAATTTTCCCTCCTTGTCCTTTCCACCTGCCATGGGGTGACACCCGTGAGGGCAAAGGACTAGCAGCTGCTCCGGAGGAAAGCGCCCTGATGCACACGGGCAGAGGACAGTATCAGGTGAGGATGGAAAGGGTCCCTACACACCCTTCTCTTCGCAATTCATCCATGTTTGCAGCTGGTTTATTTTGTGTTAATTTGGAATAGCACCACACTGAGTTCCCAGAGAATGAGCTGGGTTGGCAAAGAGCAGAGACCAGTATAATTCGTGTTAACTCAGCACACCCCGGGAGACCAGTGGTCCCGGCACCTGCTCCCAGCCCACCATGGCTCATGTGCACGTGTGCGTGCACAGCTCTCTTCTGTCTGTCAGTTTAGCCTCGAGCAGCTCCCCTCCAGGGAGCTCAGAAGCACTTGGCCAAGGTGAGGCTGGTGATCCTTAACCCCATTAGATCCGATCTGTCCTAGAATCGCCTGAGAATGTCTTTTTTAAACAAGCAGGACAGGACTGACTCCCAGAGATGGTTATAAACCGTCCGGGAAGGCCGAGGACAGAGCTGCTGCAGACCCAGGGGGTTCTGTCTACCTCCAGCCCACAGAAGCACTGAAGCACCCAGGCCGACCAACCAAACCACGGTGAGACTCAGAACGAAGAGCCCCAGTACCACACATATCTCAGAAAATCTTTTCTGATCAAAATGATTCCGTGACAATATAGGGCCTGGTCAGCAACTAGGCTGAGCAATGCTTGCAGTAACATCCACAGCAATGAATGCTATATTCTAAAGTCAAGTGACTCACAGTGTCATTGCTGCCCAGGGGAGGAAATGGCCCGGGTTGAACTCCTTGGATGCTGTCAAGGGACTGGCCTCTCCGAAAGAGTCTGTTTACACAGCCACAGAGATCCATCGGAACCCAAGGAAGAGGTGAAGCATGGCCAACCAGAGAGATGTCCTCCTGCTGACACCTTTCCCAGGATTCAATCCCCACAGACTCTGCAGATTAGCCCGGAGACATAGACACCGTGGCTCCTGCATTTGGCTGGTGGAGGGTCTTTGCCTTTCAACGCCTGGAACTCTGTGCAACTCCTGTCAGAGCCCAAGGTCCTCACTCACACAGCAGCTGAGCTGAGGCTAGCTGCTCCAACTCAGGAGTAGTGAAAACAAGGTGCTCAGGTCTGAGCAAAAAGGACTGATCACCTCTCCTCTGGGTATTAGCTGAGCACATTCAGACTATCAGTTCCTCAAGCAGAGCAGTGCTAAAAATGGGAAACTTCCTTCCTGGGGCCAACCAATTAGTCTTCCTGTCAGCTGACCCATGGTGGACTGGATTCTTTGGGAACTTTGAAGTCAGACATGGTCCCCCCATGCTGCTCTTCCCCAAGCTGGCAGTGTGGTAGATCCTACATAGAAATGAAGCAGGGCTGGATGAGGGTCACACTCATTGCTCTCTCGCCAAGAGGCCAACATCCCGCAAAGAGCAGTGGACCCGTCGCTATGGGACAGAAAGGCTGTGGGCGCACATGTCATCTCACTACCAAGGACTGATTTCCTTGGTGATGTGAGCCCTGTGTGGCCCGGCATACCAGCAGGGGCGCACGGGTGTCCCCCAGGAGATGCTGAGGATTATTACCAAGCGACCATCACCAGGTAGATGTCCTGGCAACATGGCTTACCCCTGAGAATGCTCACAAAGGGTCCCAAGTTCACCACTCACGGCGGCTGTCTGTAAGAAGACCCTGTGGTTCTGAGCGCTGAGGCTCTGGGATGCCAACCCTGAGCAATGGCCTGGCCCCTTCCTTGACTGGATGGTCTGCCACCTTCTAGAATGGATGCAAACATTGGGCCTCCTTTTGCCCTCAGGCTGAGCTGTCGAAGATGGCTTCATTCAGAGTTTTTGCCAACTGCAGCTGTCATGGCCCTTGGATATGGCACACTCACCTGTACTCAGGTGATAAAAGGCCTCTATCCAGGCCTGAACGACCCTGGCCTCCTCTGGTCTGCCCAGCGAGGGAGGCCTGACTTCCACGGAAGCCACTGCTCTCCAGTTGAGATCAACTAGGGAAACTGACCATTTGTAGCTCTTGTCTTGTGCTTAAACTGTTTTAGATGGTTCGAAAGTGAGTACACTTCCTGGTTTTGAAAGCGCTGCGCATTCACCTAAGGAAGGGTTGGCTCTGTCTTTGGAAGTCTTAGCTCCCAGTTGCTATAAAGCAAGTGTTCCTTGTCCTCCTGGGGCTGATACCAAAGGAGATGAGCACCGAATCCCCGGAGGAGACGTGACGCTCAATGTCGTCGGCAAGACAAATTTACATCATGTTGCTCTGGGTTTAAGGAAATCATTTCACTAACAAAGTCATAAGCAAACTAGAGCTGGAATCCAGAGTGTTAGCTCTGTGAGGACTAAAGATTACATTTCCATGAATGGAAAGACTTGGAAAAAATTATATTCAGTGAAGTAAGCCAGGCCCAAAGAAACATAGGTCCCCTGGTTTCCCTTATTTGCAATATACTAGTTAGTATATGTCTGAGTCGAGCAGAAAAGGTCAGATAAGTTGATGTTAGGGAAATGAACCCTAAGATATGTATTCAAATGTTTTTTCTTTCATGAGATTGTTTCTAACATATTTATAATTTCTTTGTTGCTTTGTATGCCCCTTCCCCACGGTATAACCCCTGCTTTCACTGTATTTGATGTTGGTATAATTTGTGGAGGGGAAGGGAAAAAAACAAATTGTTTAAATAGGGATACAGATGAACCCATTGCAACAATGAGATGTACAAGTCATTATGTTGAAAAACGAACTTTACAACTTTGGCACGGGGTGGGGGGGAGATAGGAAGGGATGGGAAGGGGAAACAAAGGAGGAGGCAACAATGCTTGATAAGAAATGTACTCATTATCTTGCCCATGTAATTGTAACCCCTCTGCATGTTATTTTCACAATAAAAAAATGAAAAAAAGATTACATTTCCAGGAGATAGATAAGGATGCTTATGTGTAAGCTAAGAGCCGATGGTTACCTAATAACTGACCATTCTTGCAGTGATTGCTGAAAACAAAGTCCACATACATGTTATACAATCTGCAAATAGGGCAAAATAATGGGAGATATCAAAACTGGAAAGCCAAGGAGCTAAGTCACCTTACTATTCTCAATCCATTTTGATTTTCTACTTATTGAGAGAAAGTCATTATTATATTTTTTTAAAAATTGAGAGCCAGGCACTCGTGTCGCAGTCCTGAATCCTAGCTAGTCTGGAGGCTGAGATCTGAGGATCATAGTTCAAAGCCAGACCAGGAAGGATAGTCTGTGAGACTTATCTCCAATGAATCCCCAAAAGCCAGAAGGGAAGCTGCAGTGGTAGAATACTACCCTGGACCCCAAAAGCTCAGGGACAGCACCCAGGCCATAGGACTGGCATAGAAAAGGGAGGGAGCAAGGAAGCAAGGACAGATGGAGGGGAGGAGAGAGGGAGATAGAGATCCTATAAAATACACAATAATAGAAATTAAATGTCATGGGGCTGGGAAGGCAGCTCAGTGGTAGAGTGCTTGCCTTGTATGCATGAGGCCCTGGGTTCGATTCCTCAGTACCACATAAGCAAAAAGAAAAAACAGCCAGAAGTGGGGCTGTGGCTCAAGTGGTAGAGCGCTAGCCTTGAGCTGAAGAGCTGAGGGACAGCACCTAGGCCCAGAGCTCAGGCCCCACAACCAGGCCCCCCCCCAAAAAAAATAAATTAAATATCATTACCTTACCAACAATGCAATATTTGGGACCTAAGAATATAAATTCAAAAATGGTTAAAGAAATGAAGTTGAGAAATAAGAACTACAGATTGACTAGCTCTATGTTATACCCCCCTGAGATATTTCCTAAGCAATTCTTAACAGAAGTGGCTACCCTAATTCAAAACCTATAACACATACAGTTAAAAAGTATTGTTCTACCCATTCTCATTTTATTTTTATTTATTTTTAAATTTATTTTAATTAATTAATTTATTTATTTTTATTTATTTTTCTGGTCCTGGGGCCTGAACTCTGGGCCTGGGTGCTGTCCCTGAGCTCTTCAGCTCAAGGCTAGCGCTCTACCACTTGAGCCACAGCACCTTCTCCGGCTTCTTTCTGCTTATGTGGTGCTGAGGAATTGAACCCAGGGCCTCATGCATACAAGGCAAGCACTGTACCACTGAGCCACCTTCCCAACCCCCCATTCTCATTTTAAAGAGAAAATCTGATTATCGTGTAATGAGAGGGTATTCCTTTCCTAAGAAAATTTCCTATCACCTTCATTTAAAACTATGCTGTTCCTGGTAGTTAATGCATACCTGGGTACTGCCATACGCTTTAGCATAATTACTTGTCAATAAACAAGTAGGCACCAGTCAAACACAACCATGGTGAGAATTGTTTAGAGGACTAGGGTACTAGATAAGCAAAACCCAGCAAGACGAATAATGATATGATAGGTTTTCTAATTCTAAGTTAGGCTTACCCCTTCAGCCTAGCAACGCATACAAGGAAATTGCTTTTGAAGAGTTACAGGGCCCACATATAGGATGATGTGAATCTTAACCCTCTCCCCCAATCCCCATCCAAATTAGTTTCTCATTTACCGTCAAAGTTTTTGTCTAGTTCTTTAAGCCCATGATCCAGTTCTTGAACACTCCTGCCACGGAAGAGCCCGTAGGTGACGGTCAGGCTCCCGTTGGAGATGGAGTCGGAGAAGGCAATGGTGCTGGTGATCCATGCTTGGGTCGCCAGGATTGAGCAGATCACCACAACCGCCCCCAGGCTGGTGACAAAGCTGCCCAAGAACATCAGCGTTTTCTGCGTCGTGGGCATTTTCTCAGGAAAAGACGTTCCTTTGTGTGAAGCTCCTTTGATCTTCTTGGGAAGTGTTTGGACCTTACCATTTGGAGTCTAGGGTTGGGGAATGGAGTCGGACGCTTGGGCGTGCGCTATAAAACCTCACGCGTCACAGGAAGGCTCATGCTACTCCACGTTGAACTATGAACCTGGTCGTAAAGATTCGCAGCAACTGAACCTTGGTCTGCTATGAGATGTTGCTATGGTTACAGCCAACCAGCGCAAGCCAGGGGTAGGCAAGGTCCTCCTAGACTTCCTCAATCACACGATTAATTTATAATCTTTGTGATCCCACGGGAGCAAGTTTAGCGGACAGAGCCAGGGCAGACATGGAATCCCTAAATGATGCGCTGTGCCGGGGTGCGTGCCTGCATGGTGCTGATCCCAGCAGCCGACAGAATAAAGCTCCAGCACCTTCAGCCTTGCTTACCTGCTGAAGGAAAAGCAAAGCCTCTGTCCAGGTCCTGTGGGGTGCCAGGAAGGGCTGGCGCAGCCTCTGGCTCACGGCTCCTCTTTTCCTGCCTTACCAGGGAGGTTTGTCTGTCCAATAGTCTCTTCCAGAGAAAATATTAGTAGTGGTAAATAAAGTCGTAAATAGTAGTAGGAACAGTAGCAGTGGTAATAAAGTAATTTTGAACATTCTTGCTTAGGTCTTTAAGCCTTTTTCTTTCTTTCCTTTTCTTTTTTTTAATGACAGACCAGGACTCAAACTCAGCACCTGATGCTTTGGCTCATTAGCTAGTGGCCAGACTAGAAGGCCGTCCTGGTTCCAGACTCCCTGTTGCCTGCAGAGCAGGAAGTGAACCATTGTTCTTGAATGACCACACGGCCGCTGTGGTCAATGAGTATATTTTGTGCTCGTTGCTTTATGGCCTTTGTATACTGACTAGTGCGGATGGCTCTGCACCCGGCCTTACTCTTCCCCTCAGATAACATGGCTGTCAGAGTAGTTGTGAAGTGCAGCTTTCGGTCCCTACCACTGATTGTCCATTGATGTGATGGCTGAACGGGGCCTCCACCTGACTGGATGAAGGACCCCCTGCAAGGCTGGCAGCACACAGAGGTGGTGTCCACTTCTGAGTCTGAGTGGAGGGGATGGAGAAGACCAGCCCACCCGGTGGGCAGCCTCAGCTGGTGAGATTCCTCCCAGCATTTTGTATCAGAAAGCAACTGGAAATGACCTGTGTGCAGGGCATTGGTAGTTAGTTTTAATGCATCCCTATATATTGACTCAAAGAATGAAATAGCTAGTGTGAGGGAAATATCCATACACTAGAGTGTAGGTAGCAGAAATCCGTGTGTCAGTGTGTGTAGATACCTAATGCTCTTCTGGAAAGGCAGGAGGAGCTGGTAACGTGCTCTGTGTCAGGAGAGCAGAGCTGGGGCCTGAGGAAACAAGATGTAGCTCTTTCAGTTTCACTATTGAGCCTTCTGAGTTATGTGTATGTGCGCTCCACTTTTACACTAGTATAATGTCAACAACCATGTAACTTTACACACGGGCTGCAATTCTGCACCTATGTAACAAAATTTAAATTATTACTTACAGGTGTTCTGTATAGTATGAACTCACTGATTCAAAAATACTTTACTCAGCACCAATTAAGGTTTGTGTCACAAATGCAAACTAACTAAATCTAGCAACTTCCCTGGGGAAGAGACACATGCAGATAATTACAAAACAAGGAAATAAATATTTAAAGAAAGGTGGGAATAAGTCAGCCTCAGAGAGACAAGGGAAGCATGTTTTCTCTTGAATGTGGAAGTTAGATCTAAATTACAAAAGCATATGAAAACATATACAGGGTTACACACACACATACATAAACATGTTAAATAAAATATGGTATGCAGAGGAGGATTCCAGTGGTGTAAGTTGGACAGTATTTGGGGGAAAATGAACCAAGCTTCTGCAGTACACAACTGAACATTGGCTTTTAGCATGCTCGGTATCACTCTTTGGAGCCATGTATTCGAGGAAACCAAAGGTCTACTGTACGGCATGGTGGCATTCCTATGAAAAGCCATAACTGGATAAACTATGGTGATAGCATCAAAACAATGGTTGTCTATGGCAGGAATAGGGGCATAAAATTCATTCGATGGACAGAAATGCCAGGATACAGACAGGGGATGAATAATATTAGGTTATGCTGTGATCCTTAATCAATACAGGTACCAATAATTCATCAATAGAAAACAATCCACAAAAAATCAAAATATTGTGAGGACCTAAAGTGTAATTGTCCTATTTTTCTGGGCCAGTAGAAGATCTCTCGATTTCAGTGGGTAACCACTGTTTAGTACTTGGGTATAACTTGGAAAAAAAGAAGAGGGAATAGTATTGGAGTGGTGCAAAAATTAAAAGTCCTGGATCTATTAGTTATTCTTTCTGGTACATTCTGGGGATTAGAATAACTTGCTGACTGGTATCTCTTTGTGGGGACAGATGTTGAACAAAGTTATAAAGGATGATGGTTTTGTGGCCTGCCAATCACTCAGACCTGATTTTTCTCCAATAGCTCAGTAATTTGATAGTAACATTTCTGCTAATGAACTGTTTGTGTGGATCTCTCCATAGAGGAGGTGAGGAGTGCGAATCCTGAAGAGAAGGGAAAAGTAAAGAGAAGTAATACTTTCAATTATTCCACTTCATGAGTTTATGGGGTCCATAGCTTCGACTCAGACAGATTTTGTCTGGGAGATAAGTAAATCAGAAAGCATATATCTTCGAATATTTTCCCAGTAGAATTTACTTTATTTGCAACAGAGCACAGACAGGTTAAGCCAAGGAAACACTAAAAACAGTAGAAATGATGGTGGAGGCAATTTGGAAGGGTTGATTTGGTGAAGGTCAACTTTTACTGTTGTCTGTCTGGGTTGTTACACTGAGGAAGAGGAGAAATGGCTAGGGGAAACACTTCCGGGTCAGAGCAAATATCAAACAGATCTTGATCTGGCTGTGGTGTTGCAGGCCTGGAACTCCAGAAAGATTGCCAGTTCTAGGCCAGCTTGGGCTAAGGATACTAACTGGCAAAACAAACAAAAAACAGAGAAACAAATAAACCATAACAAACAAAAAATGTTTCTGCTTATTGTTTAAATGCTAATGTTCATTTGCTTCACACACACACACACACACACACACACACACACACACACACACACACACACGATTTTGCCTTTTCTTGCTTATCCTGAAGATCATACACACCTGGCCTCAGCTAATTGAACCCTTCATCTTGAGAACACAAGGTCACCCCAAAGAAACCAACGACAGAGTCCCTCAAGCACAGTGATAGACCTACAGGGACCGGAACAGTCCAAGAAACACTGCCTGGGGCGATGTGCAGATGGAATGGAATTGCATAGCTAGGAGTAGAGCAGGCAGGAGGGGGAGTTCTTGTAGACAAGGCTGAGGGGTGGGGGATGTAGAGAATTGGCTGATGCAGACAGGGACCTTGGGCTTACCAGAGGTAAGGATTACAAGCTTCTCTAGGCCGTGAGGACTGTAGACTTTAGAAGATGCTGGGGTTGCTGCCTAATTCCTAGAAGACTCTCTGGGGTCCCACCGGGAGGATATTACTGGGAGAGCAGAACCATCTGCTCCTCATGTTCCCAAGGCTGTGTGCTCTAAAACAGCAGATGTCTGACAAGGCGAATCATTCCTCTCGGGGTGGATCACAGTCTCTGCCTCCCCAGCCCTGCGGTGTTAACAAGCAAAACCATGCTTATCAGAGTTTTGAGGTGATCTGTCTCTGGTTATACATAAGTCTGCCTTTACAGCCCCCCTAGCAGGCAAATGTAGAGCTGTGTGAAGTCACTGGGCCACTCAACCAGGAGGGACAATCCCACTCAGGACAGACCCCATTGGGCCTTGGGCCACACGGCTACCTGCCGCCCTTCCCACCCACCTGAGCACCTCTTGGCACGGGAAGGGACAGGGAGCGTGGGGATGGCGTGATGTTCCCAGCCCTGGGAGCCAGGAGAAGGGGCTGGGCAGACACCAAAGGAGCAAATGAGCCCATAAATAATCAACTATGATGGGGATAGTAAGAGAGAGCCAGGGAGGGGTGTGGAGCCATCTTCCAGAAGCAACTGGAAGGAAGCTGGGAAGAGCCCCAAGCAGGAATCAGCTTGGCTGGGTCACTCAGGGCAAGGAGCCACAGCTGGAGTAGGTGAGCCAGGCAGCGCCTCCTCCCAGGTCTGAGTTTGGTTCCGAAGGGAGGCTTCCAAACAGGGGTCCGAAATTCAGGGGCGCTGCAGCCACGGGAGACTATGAGGACGGTGCGAGTCAGGAATGGGGTGGGTGCCAGGGTAATGCTTGGAGGAGCCAGGCAGCAAGTCGACCTGGAGGTGAGAGGAGGAGGCGCAGATCAGGAAACAAAGTTGGGCTGAGCTGGCGGGAGTCGCCAGGGCTGCCGTTGGAGGAGATATTCCGGGAGCTGTGCAGCGTTCTGCGGCCTTTCCCAGCCCGGAATGCAGGGCCCGGAGCCAGGTGTGCCGGGCAGGGCAGGACGGCCGCCCTCCGGTCCTCCCGCCCAAGGTAAATCACACTCAGGTCCCCGTGCAAGGCAATTCTACCCCAAGAGGTGAGTGCTGGCTAGTACGCTAGCTCCCCTCCCCTCCTGTTCTCTTCCTTCCTCCCTTCCTCGCTCCTTTCCTTCCTCTCTCCCTCTCTCCCTTTTCTGGAAGGAGGACCCCCCCCCCCCCCACACACACACTAGGTTTTCCCAGCTCTGCCAACTTCTCCGAGCCCAAAGTTATCAAGCCCCCCCCCCAGATCCCCAGTACTGGGTGCGAGCCCCGAAACCTGTCTGTCCCTAGCCAGGCCGCTTCCAGGTGCAAGGCCAGGGAGGGAGGACCGGGACTTCTCTACGCTCGGGTCTGAGACACCTTGGCACCCATCAGCCAGGGTCCAGGCGGAGGGGCCTGGCCAGGGACCCCCGTCCCCAAAGGGGCATCAGTCAGGTAAGCGGACTGCAGGGAGCCGGTGCCCCAGGGTCCGCGGGCCGTCCCAGCGGGCGGGGCGCAGCTGCAGCGGGCGGGCGGGCGGGCTGCGCTCCCCGCGCCGGGCGCCAGGCGTCGCCCCGCTCCGCGCAGCGCCACGGCCCCGCCCCCGCCGGAGCCCCCGCCGGAGCCCGAGCCGAGCGGAGCCGGGAGCGGGAGCTGCGGAGGCTGCGGGACCCCGCGGGACAGATCGCTACCCCTGCTCCGCGGAGTGCGGCCAGCGGCCGGCGGCTCCGGCGGCACCGGGACCCCGCTGCCTCCCGCGTCTCCACGGCCTCCCGGGGACCAGCGGGGACCGCGCGCGCCCCGGGAGATGCGGAGCCGCGGCGGCTGCGGCGCGAGCGGCGCGACAGCACCGGCCCCCGCGAGGTGAGCAGCGCGGCGCGGCGGGGTCCGTGCGCCCCGCGGGTCCGTGCGCCCCGCGGGTCCGTGCGACCCGGGGGTCCGCGCGCCCCGGCGTGGCCCGAGCAGGCCGGAGGCGCCGCCCCGGCCGCCGCCGAGGCGGGGACGGGCCGCGCCGGGTGCCGCGTCCCTGCCGGGTCCCCACGGCCCTCGCCATGCATGGGGCGGGGGAGGGGGGGGAGACCGGGCACCCCGACTCCCGGCCCGCCGCGCGGCCCCATCCAGAGACCCCATCCCAACTTGGCGACCCCCTCCGCTGCTCTTGGTAAACAGGAGCAGAGCGTGTGTGTGCCTGTGTGTGTGTGCGTGTGTGTGACTGTGTGTGTGTGTGTGTGTGTGACTCTGTGTGTGTGTGCCTGTGTGTGTGTGTGCGTGCGTGTGTGTGTGCCTGTGTGTGCGTGTGTGTGACTGTGTGTGTGTGTGTGTGTGTGTGTGTGTGTGCGCGTGCGTGCACGCGCGCGCGCCCTGCGGGAGAGGGTCACCGGGCTGTGGGTGCGGGCGGCGCTGCTGCGCCCGCGCGGCCGAGGCGGGAGCCTTTCCAGAAAGTGATTGGCGGTGCAGGGACTCTGGGCGCGCGGGGGCGTTGCGGGGCGCTGCAGCCGTCCTGCGCCCTCCAGGCAGGTAGAGGTGGGTGCAGCTGGGGGCGGGGGACCCCGGCGGGGGTGACCCCCAGAGTGCCCGGAGCCAGGGGCCGGCTGTGCCAACCCCTGTGCTCGGAAGCACCATCTGGGGCGCGGAGGGCAGGGAGGCAGAGCCCGGGAGACATGCCATTCCTCTAGGCATGGCAGAGCTTTCTAGAAAGGTTAGGGGACGACGCCTGTGGAAGTGTGGTGTTGTTTGTCATGAGTTAGGTAGGGCCCCTGGCTCAGTTTCAATCCCGCGAAACTCGAGGCAAGCAGAGCCAGCTGTGGTGCTTCACCTGTGCGGCAGAGTGAAGGAGTATACCACCACGACAGGCCAGCCGCCCACCCTGCGCCCTGTTCTAGACATTGCTGCGCCAGTCTGCCAGCTCTGCCCTGACCCCTGACAGCCGTCCCGTGACCCAGGGTGCCAGGAGGTCTTTGCACAGGTGGACAAAGTGCACATATGTTTCCCACACTGAGGCACAGGGTGAAGGGAGGGCACTGGATGGTGGGGTGCTAGGGGCCGCTAAGCCTTGACCCCTGGCTGCTGTGGACAGAGCCCCCAGTGTAACAGGGTGGGGGCCGGGCCCTGCCAGCACTGGCTGTGGGCTGTGAGGAGCAAAAGGCCAGGTGGAGAGAGGGACAGGTCTGGGAGGCGGGTGCACACTGTGGGTGAGGGCTTGCCACAGCCCATCCCCGCCCCGGGCCTGCTCCTGAACATGACCACAGGGCCCAGGGGCCCAGGCCTTTGTTCCTTGGGGTCAGTGCTGCTGGTGAATCAGCACTCCCTTCCCCCTGCCCCCGACAGAGTTCCCTGTGCAGACATCACTGAGAGCTAGCTGTGTCTGTGTGAAGGCATCTGATGGTTTGGATTTAATAACATCGCTCCCTTACCACCCCAGTGGAGAAGGTAGGTGAGGGTGTCCGGGTCTATGCCACACTTCCTGGGGCCCTGTGGCAGCCCAGAGTAAGTACTGAGCCTTACACAGATTAAGTACTGAGGCTTACGCAGAGTAAGTACTGAGCCTCGGATGCCGTCTCCAGCTGCTCTCCAAACCTGCTTCTCCCTGTGTCAGATCAGAGGCCCACCACCTGGACCAGAGGTATTCCCAGCTCAGCACCTTCACCCAGAGGAAGCTGGGCGGAGGTCCCAAAGTGCTGTGTCCTAGGGGTGACCTCCACCCTCCAGGGATTCCTGAATGCCCATCACTGCCCCTGAGAGGGGCTGCAGCAAGCAGGGGGAGAGGGGAGGAGATCAGGAGGAATAGAGGAGCATGCATCCAAGTGGACAAAATTATATTTCTCCCCCAAGTATGTCGCAGTGGATCAGTTTGGTTCCCTTCCCTCACTATCAGAATCCTCCCTGCCAATCAGTCAGAGGTATATGCATAATGCGGGCCATTCCTCTTCTGTTCCCATGCCCAGTTACCCAGCTCACAGTTCTCCTGAACGATCAACTGGCCCGCCACACACGCTTTGTGTGCCTCGCCTCCACTTCCCCAGGGCCTTCTTCATCCAGACCCACCCTGCTTTGGAAGGTGGGGGCTGTGGAATTTCCCAGGGGACAGTGTGCGGCCAAGTGGCTGGCCGTGGCTTCCTGATACTTGCTGCTGATGTAGGGGAGTCTTCCCATAGCACCCCAGCCTATGTGGATGAGCTGTGATTTTAGTGGGGGTCAGTTGTGGACGGGGGGGAGGGCAGCCATACATTTTTGATGGCGTGTGGAGAGAGGGAGACAGTCCATGAATAGTGCTGGGCACACAGCTAGCCCAGAGTGACCCCAGATAACCTCCCCGAGACAGGCTGGGAGGACCTGCACTGGTCTCCCTTCCCCTCAGGCAATGCATTGTTTTCATTTAGGATGTTTGAGATACAAACATCTACCCCAGAGTTGGAGTGAGCGAGCCCTGCCCAGGCCTCACCCAATACCCTGTCCATTTCCATAGAGGCTGCCCCTCCTGATCCTTGGTTATCACTAGGAAAGAGTTCTGGGTGTTCTAGGCCATCTTTGGGGTTGTTATCTCCCAGTGAACCGTGGCCTGGTCTTTCTCAGATGTTTCTCTCTGACCATGTGTTTCATTTCTTCTGAGCTTTCTGCTCTCAGACTCCCTCCTCTTTACTCTGTCACAGGGACTCCTAGCCTTACCTCAAGGCCCAACTCACATGGTTCAGTGTCCTTTAAGTCTTCCAAGGCTCTCTAACTCAGTGATCTCTTGGTTCCATAAAAGATTATTTGTGCCCAGTGTGGAATACTACAATCAGATTCTCTTTGGGTTTTCATTTGATTTGCTTAGATATTTCCTCTGCCCAGCAGTTGGTGGAGGGTGTGTCTCCGAGAGCTTGGACTTTGGGTTTGGGCACGGATTCAAATCCTGGCCCCGATGTGACCTTGACCAGCTGTCTCCAAGTTCTGGCCTCAGCGTTCTGTCCTCTAATACAGGACTTGCGGCTGCCATGAGGGGGAACAGATGATGTAGATAATTACAAGGCGTATAACTGGCACCCAGCAAGCTGTGGCTTCTGTTCCCCGAAGGGAACAGCCCCCATGCTGCACACCGCACATGTGAAAAAGCTAGTGAGTTTCCAATGAATGAGCAATGCCCATACCGGTGTCCAGGTAGATTCTGCCACTGTGTGCCTTCCAGATGGGTAGGTAGGATCCACAGGGTGGGGTGTGCTAACTAATTTTGATTTTGCATGATAATCGGAATTATTAGGCAAAATTTGCATGCATACCTATTTCATCTCATAGTGCCGACCCTGACCTGTGTCCCGTGGTGGAATCTATTTCCCGGCATGCACCATTGACTCCAGGGCCGCCGATCAATGAGGCAGAAAGACAACTTGCTCTGCACATTCACTGGGCTCATGGCCTGGAGTAAGCCAGGCTGAGTATGAGGCCATGCGTGAGTGTGCCAACCTCAGCACCAAGAGGCTGCCTGGCCCAGGAGAGGCATTCAGAAGCAGGGCCAGAGAGTGGCATCTAGAACAGGGTGTAAAGCTGTGACTGATGGAGGATCCCAAACCTCAAAACTTCACCTTGCTTCCTTCCTTCCAAAGAGAGGCTCCTGTGGATCACCTCTCCCTTCCAGTAGCATGGCCAGATTTTTCCTCCCGCCCCTGGAGCCGGAGGGGCTGTGTGGGGACGGTGTGCAGCTGGATCTGGTGGGGGCAGGCTCCAGCTGCTCAGCTTAGCATGTGGGCCGCTGTTCTCAGTGCTCTGGTTGTCAGTGCCAGGTAGAATGCTCCCTGCCTGTGAGCTCCCCGGACAGGTTTGCGGCTGCATTCTGTGTGCCATTCATTTTAGAGACAGATTCAGACATTGTACCGGATTATCTTGGAAGGTTAACTTCTCATTATTTTATCACTTGCGTTCATCCCGCTGTGAAACCAGAGTGCTAACTAACACTTTAGATGGTTGGGAGTTTCGATCGGCACATCAAGGGAGTGGACTGTGTGTGTAATGCCACCATTCCCCTGTATCTTCAGGTGAGTGGGGCAGGCCGCGGTACTGAGGATGTGGGCTGGGAGAGCCCTCCTTTGGGGATTCCACCCAGCTGTCTTTTCTTCTGTTGGTTCTGGCGTCTGTTCCCCAAATCTCACCCTCTAAGGATTGCCCTGTCCAGGTGTTCTGCTCAAGGAGTTTTGATGTGGTTAAGAGCCTGTGAAATCTTCCTGGCACTGGCTCTCTGCCAGGACTGTGGGCCCATTGTCTCCCTTTCAATGACAGAAGTGCTTCAAAGGGCTCAGGGAGGCTTCTGAAGTAAAAACTCTGAATGTCATCAGCAAAACAAATAAACACATCCTTTATATTTATTCCCAGCGAAATGGGGACCAAATAGAATATTTTTAAAGGGAGGTATATGTAGCTTAAAAGATCTTTCAAGTGCAATAAAGAGTTTTAGTCTCGTTATCACTGAGTGGTAAGAAAGGGGCAAGCATGTATTCTGACTCCTCAAGGCACATGTAAACCCCATGAGGAGTAGGGACACTGAACTGAAAATTGACCTTTGGTTGTGGAATAGAATCTCAAGGGCTTTGGACCAGTGTTTGGATGCCAGGATTTACTGGGTAAAGAAGAAGAATTGAGAAGAAACTTTGTTTAGACCCAGGCCTGGGTCTTGGTAAAACATTGGCTCCCGATAGGCCCAGCTGGTTTGTCACAAGGTCCCGGGATCCAGGGTGCCGTCTGAAGTATGCAGGGAGGAGAGGCTAGAGGAAGGTGGCAGAGGTGTGTGAGGCCTGTCCAGGTAGGATGCAGAAGTCCCTCGGCCACGATTAGCCTGGCAGGACAGCAGCCGCACTGAGCAGACAGGGCTGTGTTCTCCCGGGGAGGCGGCGGAG